AATCAATTTATTTACAAGGTGTTCTTGATGGTACAAAAACATCAGCTGGTCCTTATCAAGGTCAAAATGGATCAATAATTATAGGATCATCACTTTTATCTTCTACTTCATTTTATGGTTATATTGATAATTTGATAGTAACAACAAGAGCAAAATCAGCTAGTGAAATTCTTGTTGATGCTTCAGTTGTTGTTTATTTTTCATTTGATGGTTCAACATTAACACAAGATATGGGACCAAATCAATTGAATGGTACAATATCAAATGCTGCTGCAGTTAGTGGAAAAGTTGGTCAAGGTTTAGCATTCAGTGGATCATCATCATCTTATTTTCAAGCATTTGGCTTTTATCAATTAGGTCAGTCTAATAAGCCATTTTCATTTTCCATGTGGATATATCCATATTCAATTGCTGGCGGCATATTAATTCAGAAAACAGCAACGCAAAGTGGAGGTGGTTGGTGTTATTCCCTGATGGGTCTCACGTCTTTCGGTCAAATTGTAATGCTTGTTTACACTTCTGGTGTACCATTAATTGTTGGTCCCATATTAACAGTTCGTACATGGACCCATCTTGGTTATACATATAGTACAACAAATGGTCTTCAAATGTATATCAATGGTCAATTGTTTGGTACTACTGGACCCGCATCATGGTCATCATCGTCGAGAATTGATTGGCTCAGTATTGGCTCTTATATATCCAGTTATTGTGGACAAGGTGTAATAAGTGGTGTTCCTTATTTAGGTGCCATTGATGAATTTTATGTCTATCGACGAGAACTGAGTGCTAGTGAAATAGTTGCTTTAGCCAATCCATAAAATATTATAATTTTGATTTTCATTAAAATAAATACTTCACATTGTTTTATAAAAGATAATATTAACTAATTCTTATATTCATTGGCAACATGAATCTTATAAATGTTGTTTTTGAAATATTTATCAGTTGCATTAGAAAGCAATCATCGAATGTAATAAAAAAAGGAACATGAATAGATAACTTTTATGATAATTAAATACTAGAATGATTCAAAACGACAAGAAGACAATGTTGATATTCATATAATAACTGATGATCGACGACTAAAATGTTTCAAATCGATTTTCAACTAGCGTTATATCCTATAAATCAATTTTTTTCCAATTAATATCTTATTTCAATCAAGCTTCTGCATTCAAATTCGCTTTTATTTTTATATGAAATAATTCTCGTTGGCCGTGTTAGTTCTAGAGATCTAAGCTAAAAGAAATATTTCTTTATAAAATTTATTTTATTATATAGTTTTCTTATAAATAATACAATAAAAGTCGTAATATAGCATTCGTTCATGAGTAGTTTTTAAGGGTTAGCTAGAGTGTACACTTCAGTAGCAGATAATTCTCGTCGATATACATAAAATTCATCAATAATTCCAAAAAATGCACCACCAGAAATAGGACTCGGTGAACATCCAACAATATTATGACCAACAGTTAACCAATCAATAGTACCACTTGACGAAAAGCTCATTGATCCCGTTGCAGCATATTGTACACCATTAATGTACATTATCTGACCATTAGTAGAACTATATGTATAAACAATATGAGTCCATTCCAAAGTGGATATAAGTGGACCAGTAATTTGTCGACCACCTCCATTTGTATAGAAAGCAATTTGGCCAATATATGTTAATCCCATCATATCTTGACACCAACTACCGCTAGTATATTGTGCTGTTGATTTATGAATCAATGTTCCACCTGTGACAGAATATGGATAAATCCATAAAGCAAATGAAAATGATTGCGATGATCGACCTAATTGATAAAATCCATATATTTGAAGATAAGATGATGATCCACTAAATGCTAAACCTAGACCAACTTTTCCAATAACTGAAATAGCATTTGATAGTGAACCATTCAATTGATTTGGTCCCATATCTTGTGTTAATGTTGAACCATCAAATGAAAAATAAACAACAACTGAAGCATCAACAAGAATTTCACTAGCTGATTTTGCTCTTGTTGTTACTTTCAAATTATCAATATAACCATAAAATGAACTGGAAGATAAATATGATGTCCCTATACTTATTGATCCATTTTGACCTTGATAAGGACTAGCTGATGTTTTTGTACCATCAAGAACACCTTGTAAATAAATTGATT